TGTGGGTGAAGCTTTTGTGGGTCAAGATTTTGTAGGTCAAGCTTTTGTGGGTGAAGCTTTTGTAGGTCAAGCTTTTATGGGTGAAGCTTTTGTGGGTCAAGCTTTTGTAGGTCAAGCTTTTGTGGGTGAAGCTTTTGTGGGTGAAGCTTGAGGGACAAGCTTTTGTGGGTCAAGCTTTTGTGGGTCAAGCTTTTGTGGGTCAAGCTTTTGTTGGTGAAACTTTTGTGGGTGAAGCTTTTGTAGGTCAAGCTTTTGTAGGTCAAGCTTTTGTGGGTGAAGCTTTTGTAGGTCAAGCTTTTGTGGGTCAAGCTTTTGTGGGTCAAGCTTTTGTTAGTGAAGCTTTGGAATTAAAGCTTTGTAGGTGAAGTTTTGGAGTTGAAGCTTTTGTTGGGTACCATGAATTGATTTTGCTTCACACTATCTTGATCAAGATAGTGTGAAGCTTTTGAGAATTTGTAGTTGTCCTCTATTGATGAAGCTTTGTTGAATTTCCCTTTTTTTTTTTTTTTTGGGAAACTAGAAATTTGAAAATGTGGGAGAGACAACATATACAAATTTTGCTTCCACACCGTTGAGCAAGAGATTGTGATGCAAGCCACACCTTGTAGTAGTCGAAAGTTTGGATGAACCATATAAATTGAATTTGCTTCGAACAGTCTTGAATTTGCTTCGAAGGTCTGAGAATTGTAGTTGCACTCCATTGATGAAGCTTTTGTTGGCACCATAAATTGGTTTTGCTTTACACTGTCTTGATCAAGAGTGTGTGAAGCTTTTGAGAATTGTGGTTGCCCTTCATTGATGAAGCTCTTGTTGGCGCGATAAATTGGTTTTGCTTCACACTGTCTTGATCAAGAGTCTGTGAAGCTTTTGAGAATTGTGGTTGAACTCCTTTGATGAAGCTCTTATTGGTACCATAAATTGGTTTTGCTTCACAGTGTCTTAATCAAGAGTGTGTGAAGCTTTCTACGAGTTGTAGTGTTTGTATTGTTACAGAGGGGAAATGTCTGAAGCAGATGCAAGAGGGCTGAATAGCTTGATCTTCGTATGCCATGCACTGAAGTTGTTGTTGGATTGCAATAAGACTTTGTTGATGACTATAACTCTTGTTGGTCATAAGTGCTCCCCCAGTTGAGTTCTCAAGCTTGATGGTTTTTGATTATTTGTGAATGCTAGGAGTTCACATGTACAAGTTGTACCATTCGTCTTCTGGTAGGTGGAATGAATGGTGAGTTGCTTTCATCACTTGGTTGGTGGTACGAAGATGAGTTCCTTCTTCACCTGGTTGGTGGCATGAAGGAGAGTACGGGTTGTACATTTTATCACTTGGTTGGTGGCACGAAGATGAGTTCCTTCTTCACCTGGTTGGTGGCATGAGTGGCAAGTTGCCAAATGATATTAGAGTACGGGTTGTACATTTCATCACCTGGTTGGTGGCATGAAAGGGAGTACGGGTTGTACATTTCATCACCTGGTTGGTGGCATGAAGATGAGTTCCTTCTTCACTTGGTTGGTGGCATGAGTGGCAAGTTGCTAAATGATATTAAAGTATGGGTTGTACATTTCATCACCTGCTTGGTGGCACGAAGATGAGTTCCTTCTTCACCTGGTTGATGGCATGAGTGATAAGTTGCCAAATGATATTAGAGTATGGGTTGTACATTTCATCACCTGGTTGGTGGCACGAAGATGAGTTCCTTCTTCACCTGGTTGGTGGCATGAGTGGCAAGTTACCAAATTATATTAGAGTACGAGTGGTACATTTCATCACCTCGTTGGTGGCATGAAGGAAAGGATGGGTTGTACATTTCATCACCTGGTTGGTGGCATGAGTGGCAAGTTGCCAAATGATATTAGAGTACGGGTTGTACATTTCATCACTTGGTTGGTGGCATGAAAGAGAGTACGGGTTGTACATTTCATCTCCTGGTTGGTGGCATGAAGATGAGTTCATTCTTCACATTTCATCACCTGGTTGGTGAGAATAAGGGCAAGGTGTCGATACACATTGTAGCAAGTGTCGAAGACACAAGGTATGTTGAACCCTTTCGAAGCACAGTTGGCTTATGTATGGATGTGTTGGAATGTATGATGTTAATGTATGAATGTGTTGGAATGTATAATGTTTATGTATGAATGTATTGGAATGTATGATGTTTATGTTGATTGATATGAGTGATGCTTATGAATGTTTTGCTATGCATGAAGAGATCCATGCTTTTGATATGTGAACCATGTTGGTTGTAACACTTAGTATCACATACTTTATGTCAAAGTATGCATGTTGAAGCTCTGAGTTAGAGTATAAGGGTAGGTCAGCGTAGACTAAGTGTTCCAGTGCTAGGAATGTAAAAGACTCAGAAGAAGTTGTCTGAATTCCCTCTTCTTTAAATATTTGCCGAATGGCTTGTGTGACAAAAGATCTCAAGCGGTTGAGAGTCAAAACATTTGTAATGTGTATGCCTTCATATAATAGCATTTCTTTCAGTACCTAGTCCTCCACTTTGAAAGAGTGATGCTTGGCCCCATAATCATAATAGTCGACGGTACATTCACCCATGGTTGTCTTGATACGAACTTTTATCCCTCTTCTTGTAATGGGCTTGCTGAGAGCAAAAATCCTTGTTACCAAGAGATAGATACGTTTGGTGACTTAACGAGTAGCTAAATGAGGTAGGAGATGATGCAATGGGTGTCTGAATGGCCAAGATCTCCTCACTTGGTAGAACTTGACTTCTACTTCCCATTTGTTGATAGGGGTTAACCATATGGGGGTTCCCTTGGTATGTCCCTGCTTCGACGGAGGCGTGGTTGTAAGCATGTGCCATCACCTCAGAGTAAGTCTTCCAAGTGTTGGCATTGATTATGTACTTGAAGAAACAATCACGTAGGCCTGCTGTGAAGGCCTTGAGGGCGGTCTTGTCATTTGCCTCAGCGCAACTAGAATACTCATTGCTGAAACGACCGGCATACTCTCGTAGTGACTCGTCCGGCTTCTGGCGAATAGTGTACAAGTCATTTGTAGAATGCAAGCGATCGATCTGGAAGATGTGTTAAGAAACAAACAGTTTCCTCAATTCCTCAAATGAGTCTACTGTCTCAGGTGGAAGACGGCAATATCAGTTTAGAACTCCGCCAGAAAGGGTGAAGGGGAAGAGAAGACATCGCTCTTCGTCGGTGTGCATCTGATATGCCATGGTGGACTCAAAGAGGTTAAGGTGTTCAATTGGGTCCTCCCTTCCAGTATATAGTTGTAAAGCAAGCTTTTGTTTTGTCTTCCCTTGAAATGGGGTCGAGGATCCTCCTTGTGAGAGGGCCAGGCCTGGGTTAGTTCTAGTCAGGTATCTCGGATTGACGTTCGGCCTTCAACTTGTTTACTTCTTCAATGAGATGTAGGACAATGGGGTCCTGAGTGGAGCCATGTACCACTGAAATTTTCTTTCGTAAGTCTCCATTGCCTCTTGGAAATAGGAAAGTTTGAGCAAGGGCATGTGGTTTTTTCTTGGACTCGCCGTATTGACTTCTAAGGCGAGTCTATCGAAATACCTCAGAGTCCCATGTACCTTCATGTTCCTCTGGGACCTGTTGTTCCTTCCCTAGATTAGCAGCGGGCCTGGGTCGTGGGAGAGGACCGAGTCTTTCAGAAACCCTTGGGTCATTGATCTTCGAGCATATGTAGAGGGGATTCTCTCGACGTTGTTTTAGGAAGTCTCAGCAGTCACGATAAACGGTTTTCGATCCTTCCAACCCTTTTGCAAGGAGGTGTCTTCCTCCACTTCTCCTGCTTCGGGTCGAAACATCTGGGTTGAGAGAAGTCTCATGTTGATCAATGTTTTAATGATTAGCTTGCTCCTCATCAGGGATTCCCATGTCAAAGGGAGGTGACCCTCCGTGTTAAGGGTACCATGATGATGGTTGATGTCCACAGGGGCAACGAGCTCGCGTGTTTGAGTACGCCTAGTTTTGTGGAGCGTCTCAAAGAACTTCTCATACTGCTCCTGGAGGACCTCATTCTTCATTACTATCTTGTTGTTCTGAGCTTCTAGCTCATCGACTTTAGCTTAAAGAGCAACCATTTTTCCTTCATTCTTTCGTTGCTTCACACTAGGTGCAAGAGGGGTGTCATTCTGTGTGCTGTGGCTTCCTTCGCTCCCCATGTTGGAGAATGATGCTTGGTCAAAAGAGAGTGTACGAATGGTGGAAACCAGCTTGGCAAAGCTGAAGAGAGTGGGAATAAGTGTCGTTCCCATAGACGGCGCCAAATGTTGATGCACAAAATCAGTGGGGACTTTGGTGCAACAGAAAGTGTTAAGTTTGTGACCTTCGCTAGATTGCTCTGGTCACTAGTGTGGATAAGTATGTAAATGGATAGGGACAGGGAAGCAAACACAAGATGTACGTGGTTTATCCAGACTGGCTACGTCCACGGAGTAGAGGAGTTCTCATTAATTGTGAAGGGTTTACACAAGTACATAGGTTCAAGCTTTCCTTTAGTGAGTACTAGTGAACGATTTAGTACAAATGACATTAGGAAATATTGTGAGAGAATGATCTCTATTTATAAAGAAAGTTTCTAGTCTTGTTCTGACATTGACACGTGTCGTGTTGTGATTGGCTTCCGATGTTGACACGTGTCGCGCTATGATTGGCTTATGATGTCGACACGTGTCGCTCTGTGATTGGCCTCCTGGTTGAAGTGAAACTCTTCTGGATCATTGACGGTATAACGTTGACCGGTACTCGGTAGTTTCGGGATTAGTCAAGTTTGGTACAAACAAATACAAATATATTTTAGAGATCTGTAAGCAACAAAAGAAACCGGCGCACAAACTTGAAGATGAAGAGATCAAGTGTCAATTTGAAGATGGAAACCTCCAATTTGGCGTGGGCATAACAACTCATCTTATTCGAAATTAGAGAAAAACTTCTCAAAAAATTCAAAAGTTGAAATCTGCGATGGGTTATGGCGAAATTTCCGTATTGAACGGTAAACATTGTCGATCTTCATGAATTTTCCGATATCTCACCAATGTAGGATGAAGTTTGCATTTCACACTCGCTTCCCAAATCAATTCTTGATTTTACGGATATTTCGATGGAAATATCGACAACTTCGTTGATATTTTAAACACTGGTACACATCACATATATAGATAACACCCGTGTGGTTAAGCTCGTAATACACATCTACCTCCTACTACAACAAAAGTAAAATTCAGAAACTCCCCTTCCCATATAACTTAAATCAGCTAAAAGACCAAACTAGCCGCATAACTTTTTCTGAGAGGCATTTCATCAAACACGTACTTTACGAACGCTAAGCAACTTCACATCGTCAATGATGGGGCCGCACAGAGACCCAGAGTGGTCGGCGGACATGGTGTAAAACGTGCTGTAGAACATGATCCTGGTTCGCGGCCCCACGGCGGTGAAAAGGAGCCTCGCGCGCTTGAACCCACCTTTGCCTTTGGACTGGTACGGCACCTTGAGGGTGTCTTTGCCGGCAAACGCCTCGACGATGAGGGAGCCTTCGCAGGCGTTGTTGGAGTCACCTACGGAGAATGTAAGGGCGTAGAGCTTGCCAGGCTTGGTGAAGACGACTTGGGCCAATGCGCTTTCTTTGCCGCCGACAAGCTCGATGGCTTTACGGCCTTCGGGTACGAAGAAGTGCTGGGAGTCGATGTACTTAACGGCCTTGAGAGACTCGATGATCCAGCCTGGGAGTGGGCTGTGGTCGTCTTCTATGTGGGGTGGGATTAGGACTCCCCATGATGTGTTGGGCAACACATAGGGCCCTTCTTCGAAGTTTCCATTTTTCAACAAGTTGGCTGGAAAAATAATAATTGAACAAAAATGATAAGTAACTTTTTTCTGGTACAAAAAATGACAACATTAAATGTTTGTAACATATGTTACGTCATATTGTTATTATGTGTCATATCAAATTCACGAACAATTGACTTGGGTTACAAGTTAGTTCTATCTTTAAAAAGAAGGCAATCGAGAATGTGGTTAATAATGTATTAATATAGCTCAATAAAAAAATGTATCAATATGATACCAATGAAATTTTTCTTAAATTTTGCGTATGATATTTAAAAAATAATAATTTAGATCTGACAAGTTATGTTATCAAATTATCACTTGAACAATATAGTTGACGCTATAAATGATTCATATTAGCAAGAGCAAACAAAAAACCACAACTTTTTACCTCTAGTACGTTTAGGAGGTTCCAAGAGCTTCAAAGCAACAGAATCAATAAGTGGGCCACAAGCAGGATCTTCCTCCCCCCCAGGGTTATGGATCACAAGCTCAACCTCATCAGAATCTGCATTGAAACCCCATGCATACGAATCCCATCCATTGCTGCTGTACATTGTCTGGATTGGCATTATTCCCCAGTCTTTTTCTTCAACGTTGGGATTGACGGACACGTTCAGCTTCTCCTCCTGCCCGCACGTCCGACCAGCGGTGAATGTGACGGAGTAGAAGCCGCCTTTTGTGAGCTTCAACTTCTGCTTGATCAAGGCCTCCTTCCCGAGCCTCACTGCGAAGCCGCCCTCAGGGACGAGCAGCAGCATGTCACCTTGTTTTTGACCTGATTTTATGTACTCGACGAAGCCTGATATTTCCCAGTTGGGAATTGCGTTAGGGTTCGTCACTACCGTGCCCTTGAGTTCTGAATGCTTTGGACCGTACTCGAAGTTGCCGTTGGGTAATAAGCCTGAGAAATGAACAGGGTTATGGTCAATAACATGTAAATTCACTCAAACAAATCTTACAGTTGTGACCACTAACTGACATGACAATATTTGATTTGTTTGCATATTGTTGTCACATACCACATCATTTAAAGGCCAAAACTCTTAACAAAATTAATTTTAAGAAATAATATGAAATGAAAAGGACCACCGAAAGCTACAGTTAGTAAGTTTTAGTAGCATGTGAGATTGTATTTGCCTTTGTTCCTAATATTAAATCATATTATTGATGCCACGAGAGGATCACAAGTTATGTATCGACCGATCATGTGATGTGATCACATTGTTTCTTGTTTTCTAGTTTCTCCCCCAACAATAAAAATAGTAATTGTGATATATGAAAATGGGTTGATGAGCCAATGTCAAAACCTATAATAAATCTATTGCCAATTAATTGAAAATCAAACAATATAATGTAATACATATATGTTCGGATTAGTCGTTTACGTATTATAATTTTAGTAAATTTATAAATCTAGTGTGTACTAGTTATATTCGTAAAAAGAGTTCAAACATAAGACACCGGTCACAAAAGTAAATATTTTAAATCAATTGAATTGCCTGCAAATTTCTTGTATGTGTGTGACATGTTATCTACAAATGAATTATTATGCAAGTACGAACAAGTTCACATGTGACACCACTAAAAAGTATTTGGTAGTACATGATAATGATATGGTTAATGATCAATATTTGATCAAAGGTGGCACCCACATAGTTGATCAAATCTTGTCGATGACCTTATGGGGGACAAAATCCTTATCTAGGACTTGTCTAGTACCCAAATTAGATAGCCGATTGATTGTATCGATCGTCCTTTTGAGTTTTGAGTGTATAAAATGTGAACAATAAGGGTATTTTAGTCATTATCAACGTATTAAGTACAACTTGGGAATAAGATGAAAACGATAGTGGTGCTGCCAGCCATGCAAACAAGATGTACAGCTCCGCCCGACAAGATTTCCATGTGCAAAAAGATAGTCTAGGGCTCTTTTCATGTGCAAAAATATCATGTATATTTTAGTGTCAATTTGGCGGTACAGTATGACTAAATGATGTGTAAATTGGACTAAGGGCTGGTTTGGTATTGTTGTGATTTGAAAAAAAGCTGTTGTGAGAATAAGCGGCTGTGAAATAAATCAGCAGAGTGTTTGTTAAACCTTTTTGTAAAAGTGCTTTTGGAAAAAAAAAACAGTCTGATAGTGGGTCTTTTCATTAAAAGAGCACTGTAGCTCCGTGTGATTTGAAAAAAAACCAGTTTTCCAAAGCTGCAAATAGCAGCTTCAGCTTTTTCCTTTGATTTCAGCTTATTCTCACAGCAGCTTCCAAAATAAGCCTTTTTTTTTTCAGTTTACCAAACACCCAAAACCCTCACAACTTTTTTTCATGGGTGCTTTTTTTTTAAGCACCTCACTCCCAAACCCAACCTAAGATAATGTGTCAAAGTTATTTGATACGATTTATGTGCTACGAAGTCGAATTTAAAATTTTTCACTTAAAAGTGATGATAAATATCACTAAATCATAATACTAAATGTAACTACGGGCTGGTTTGGTATTGTTGTGCTTTGAAAAAAAGCTGTTGCGAGAATAAGCGGCTGTGCTGTGAGAATAAGCGACTGTGAAATAAAGCAGCAGAGTGTTTGGTAAACTTTTTTGTAAAAGTGCTTTTGGAAAAAAAAGGCAGTCTGATAGTGAGTCTTTTCATTAAAGGAGCATTGTAGCTCGATGTGCTTTGAAAAAAAACCAGTTTTCCAAAGCTGCAAATAGCAGCTTCAGCTTTTTCCTTTGATTTCAGCTTATTCTCACAGCAGCTTCCAAAATAAGCCCTTTTTTTTTCAGTTTACCAAACACCTAAAACCCTCACAGCTTTTTTTCATGGGTGTTTTTTTTTTAAGCACCTCACTCCCAAACTAGGGCTACCATCCTTCAACATGATCGAAAATGATATTCATAAACTAAGCAGCTAGCTAAAACGTTTTTTGGGCACCGAAAGAAATGAACACCTGGCCAACCAAAAATATATGCATATGCTCCCGAAGAAGACTTGCTCCCAAGCAGTAGGGCATTTTCATATTTCTTTTTTCCATTATAATTTGTGTTTTCAATTTAGAAGAAGAAATTACTAACTAGTCTTACGTTTTTGTGGTATTTTGCATTATGTATAGTTGTAGGTTCTTAAATTTGACTCCTGTAAACAATAATTTCATATGACTCATTTATGGCTTAGCCTGAATTCTAGCTATCGTGGTATTAAAAACTTAGGAGAAGGAATTTATTATTTGCAGGACTTTACAAGTAAGAAATCAATGAAAACAACATCTTCATTGAGTTAAAGAGTGTCTGAACTCACTGCAAGAAGTTTTTGTGTATCCGAAACACAAGATAGTATATTATGTGTTATAATATAAATAGACGACATAACTGTAAGGGTATATTTCATAATTTTCTTCTACTTATGTTATAACATTTAATGTGTCGACCTATGTTTTTTTTTTTTTTTGAAACAAGTACGATATTCATTAATGTCTCGACCTATATTTTGATACACTTAAAAATCTCTCACTTATTGCATAGGGACTAAACCAGAAGCAGATGGAGATCGCTTATAATACGAGACTTCAATATTTATGACAACCTCCTACCTAGGAGCTGTATGAAAATCGTCTATAAATAAAGAGATAAAAACAGCATAAATAACAGAGGAGAGCTTACCATCTGTGACAAATGATAAGGTGACGTGGAAATTAGCTGCACATAGCAGAACCAGCAGCACTGTGAGTTTGTTATTCATCGTGACTCTCAGAGTGTTTATGCGTGAGGGAGAAGGGTTGGAAGGGTTTGAGTTGAGATCCCAGGGAGTGAGCACTGGTTTATATACTGCTGGCCGACATGGAAAAGCCTCCGAGTTTGTAGTAAACCACGTGAATGACATTATTGGAAGGTTTAGAGGTATCCTTTGGCTTACGCACCACCTTCCTCGAAGTTTGCAAAACATGCGTATATTACGAAACTCTTCCTTAATTTTAGTCCATAGCTAGAAAACCCGCTGCCAAGGCAATCTTCACAAAAAAACAACGCTTCATTAACTCTCTATTAATATAATATACTATTATTTGCGATTGATTGATTGATTGAGACTTGGGATTACGTGAAAATAAAAATACTTTTATATCTTTATTTTGGAAATAAATTCATACTTCACTTGCGAGTTATGTATTTTTTATCGTAAAAATTTCATAATCAGAATCGTTTAATTTTGTAATCTTTATTTGAGGATCATTTTGTTTAATCGTTCAAATTAACCAAATAAATGGTGGATTTCATCGCTAATAATGTCCATTATTTAGTACCTACTCCATAATAGTATGTAGTTTTGTTGTATTTGAAATCGACTCCAATAATAAATTAGATAATGAGCTAGGATTAGAATCCGAACTCTGCTACCTCTCAATGCAATAAAACAAGACTTTTTAGTTAAAATGGTTTTTGAAATTAGCATAATTATTTACTTTGGTCTCTAACAATGAAAACCGTAAATCATTTTTGTTCTTCTATGAAAAATCTGTCAATATCCTCGTTAAATTGTCACGTAAAGGACCACGTGACCAACTTTTCAAAGGTATTTTTGTCAAACCAATCTCTTCACTTAATGAAGATATTGACAGATTTTTCATAGATGACCAAAATGATTTACTGTGGATAAAAATTAACTTTGTTTCCTTCTTTCTTTTCCATTTTTTTCTTCCTTTATTTGTTGATAGAAATGGCTCTTGGTTAAAGCTTCATACATTAGGACTTCGTAACTTTGCAACATCATTCTGAAGGTAAGAAGACGCAAGCCAACGTGGCCTATCCTCCAACCAGATGCAAGTTTCAGTACAGTTCATATGAAATCTAAACCACATTGTGAGAAACATTGTTATCTGGTCAGGGTACCTAAATCAAGGATATTGAGACAAATTTATACATTAGAACAATTGAATAGTTTTTGTAAGCGGTGGATAACTTTGGTAGTTATTCTTCACCTCACTATATTTCGAGTTCAAACCCTCTCACTCTCGTTAGTGTAGATTAGTTTAAAATTTTGTAATTAAAAAAAAATAGTTCGAACAGTTTTTATTTTAAACCCCTTTCAAATATCTTATTTCAAAACATAGCCAAATTATAATTTAATTTTTGGACTAGTACACTATTTTGGGATTTAAAAGATGATAAAAATTAAATTCTTTGAGTGTAACAAATAGATATTTGCCAGGCAATATTAATTCCATAAACTCGAAGAATACAGGAATTTCTTGGTGTTTGTAAACATCTGACGCGTACTCTTAAATGTTAATTTTTTTTTCTTTTTTTTTTCACTAAAGTCTTAGAAATACCGATCCTTAGCTTGGGATTTCAGGTACTATTTTCCGGGGGAGGTTATACTTATAGACAAGCCATTCAAAATGCATGTGTTTCACTAATTGGTTTGCTTATACGATGTCGGTTTGAGGGTGACTCATAAACTGTATGATCAACCTTTGAATCTTAGCATGCAGAGCCACATGGTTGCGGTGGACACCTTCACAGAAGGTGCCGGCGACTGGACTGATGGACACACTCAAGTGCATGGATTCCATCACATTTGACGCCTCGTAACGAGTTAACTGTTATGTGTAGTTTTTATTATACACAGAGTTTAAGTTCTTGAGTGTGCTCTCGTTATAAATCTATCGTGTTATGTTAATTTTGCAACTGATTTATATTATAGTCATTGTCCTATTGATGGTTGAACCTTAGTTATCTATCGTTGGTTGTGCGTTATTTTTTCCATATCATATTAGCTCTTATGTTAACGGTCATTAAAAATTGTTTATCCATATATAACGCCATGTCTAAGTCGCCTATTCATCACTCTTAATAATATACCATTTCTTCTATAAAAGTAAAATAAAATAAAATATGTATAAAACTGCATTCCACACTTTAGCACCTACAAATATCTCATTAAAATGTTGTTTAAAAAAAATATCATTGAAACAAAATATAAAACACCCAACTATGATTCATCTTCAAGGATAAATGACTAGTCCATCTCCTTTGATCACCACCCAAAAGTATCGAATCCATTTTTATTATCTTTTTCCTACAAAATTTGTAGCTCGTGGGAGGAACAGAAAAACATCAAATCAAACAAATGCACATTACATAATCAATCAAAATTCAGAAGGGGTTGAAAAATCGTAAATTAAAAACAGATCTTATATATCGATCCTTTTGGCAAGTGGATACTGGAAACCCATGTGCAAATGGACATCTTAATTGAGTATTCCTTCAATTTCTTAATACATTATTACTTTATTATTTTCCTATTTCTACTGTTTCTTTGTGGTCGGCAATAATTTCCGTAGTTTATTATGGCATCCGGTGGATGGTGGTTGGGAGGAGAAGCAATATTGCATGGGAATATTATCATATGTGGACGACTTTGGGCTACAATTCAACATGGATGCATGTGTTGTGAAGTGTGTCCCAATCAACCAAATCGATCAGGTTGTATGTGGTGAAGAAGACTGAAACATAAACTTATGATTTTGAGCTCAAACAACAATACATTTGTTAAAACAACTATATGATATGTTATCGTGATCATTACCGTGTGTTGATATTTGACGTATATTTGTACACTTTTTATCTATTAAATTATCATGGTTTTATTTTAAATAGTTAGATTTGATGTGTTTTATGTGAGTTTTTTAGAAAGGATAATGCTATAGATACCAAATTCTTAAATCAAATTTGCAAAACAAATGATGTGTCACCAAAAGAAAATAAAACGTTAATCAACACTTAAGTAATAATCCAATTATCAACAACCATATCATTTCATTTACAAAATTTTGTTTAAAAATTTGGTCTCCTAATTATTATCCTATAATCATATATATTTTTTTAGTACATCAATATTTTTACATTAGGAGAAGTTCGGTTAAGTCACATAATAGACAACCTAATTTGGTATCGAATTCACCATCCACGATATTCGAATCTAAGACATCTCGCTTATAAATGAAGAGAAATACTACCAAACCGTATTACTGAATAACATCATATAATCATAGTTCGAAATATAGATTTTCAAGAAGAATTACAAGAAAAGCACGAAGGAATAGGGAAGTGGCTATGCGTGATTTGTGCGTGGTCGATGTAATATTGGACTTTGGACCAATAATTAGTGGGTTTTGCTGATTTTGTGCAAACTTTGGAAGAATTCGATGCTGTGCTGCTATCCTCTTCCTACAAGGAATGGGTTTTTGAAATTCCTATTGGCACGTGGACTAATATAGAAAAGGGGAGGGATTTAAAACGAAGGTCACGTCTTTTTTTTTTAGTGTAAATTGTTGATGTACAAAATCAGTGAGGACTTTGGTACAACAAAAAATGTTAAGTTTGTGATCTTCGCTAGATTGCTCCAGTCACTAGTGTGGATAATATGTAAATGGATAGAGATAAGAAAGCAAACATAAGATGTACGTGGTTCACCCAGATTGACTACGTCCACGAAGTATAGGAGTTCTCATTAATTGTGAAGGGTTTACACAAGTACATAGGTTCAAACTCTCATTTTGTGAGTACTAGTGAATGATTTAGTACAAATGACATTAGGAAATATTGTGGGAGAATTATCTCCTTTTATAGAAGAGAGTTTCTAGCTTTGTTCTGACATTGACACGTGTCGTGTTGTGATTGGCTTCCGATGTTGACACGTGTCGCGCTATGATTGGCTTCTGATGTCAACATGTGTCGCGATGTGATTGGCCTCCTGGTTGGAAGGAACTCTTCTAAGTCTTTGACGGTATAACATTGACCGGTGCTCTATAGTTTCGGGATTGGTCAAGTATGGTACAAACAGTGCTCCGCTAAGTTCCTGAGTGAGGGAAGCTCCTCGGTTGGGGACTTGCAAGATCCAAGCCGCTGAGTAATCACAAAACTTCTAAGTACCGAAGTGTGGTATCGTCTTCACTTGCCTTATCTGTCTCATAGGTAAATGTGGCATATTCTTTGGAAGTACTTTTCCTCCATCCAGGGATGGTATCTTTAACCGGTGGAGATGCACAAGGTAATGTATCAATTTCACTTGAAGCTTACTTGTAGTTTTAAGCTTGGTCAAGCGCGATACAAACCATGTAATAGGAGTCCCCAAGTCGCCGAGTTAGGAGATCTGCCGAAATAGGTGACAGACAAGGTAAGCAATCAGTCCCAGATCAGAAGTTCGATTTTGAGTTTCGGCTGATTGTTTTCATTCCCCCTATCTTGTAGGCAGCATGAAGGATAAAGAGAAAAAATATGAGAAGAGATGATATGAGATACTTTGCTTTTGAAGAAGTAACTTTCCACAGACTTATTCTTGAACTGGGTTGGAAGGTTTTCTAGTTTCCTCCAGAGTATAAGGCCGACTTAAGAATTTGAGGGTCAAAACAAGTCTATCAAATCAAGAGTGTGTTCGACCTAGATGATATGAGATACTTTTGTTGTTGATAAAGTAATAGATGAATCGGCATGTGTTCTGTTGCGTTTATCTCCACATACTTCCTTGTATCTTTCTCACTTGCCCTATCTGTTCCTCAGGCAGATGTGGTATCTTTTCTGGAAGCACAAGATGTTGAAGATGAGTACTCGAGAGCAATGCCAGGTAAGTAACCAGGCAAAGGGTTCCAGGTAGTCAGTTCCTGATTGGAAGCTTAATTCCAAGTGCTGACTGATTGCTATCTTTTTCCTTGTCTTGCAGGTAAGAACAAGGGCAAAGGAAAAGACAGGGAAAAAGCATGATATGGGATACTCTTGCTTTTAACCCTGATGATATGAGATATTTTTGCTC